TGAAACGTCTCAAAAGTGTATTTCAGATGTGATATAGTTCTAGACTATAAGGCCAGCCAAGGAGGAGGGATGATGTGATTTATACTATACATGCATGACGTATTTTGTAAAATCGAGATTCATATGGCCTTTACCCCGTTATTGCTTGTTTTGTTTTTTTTTTTTTCACACCATGTTTTCATTGTGCTTTATGTTTTTCAACTTCTTGTTATTTCCCCAAGCAGGAGCTTCGACCAATCAGGGCTGTCGTGCCCGACAGCTGGCGCCAATTGTGCGGTGAATCAAACTGCAAGTTCCGGATTCTGCAAAGCCTGTGTTGACTTGTGCTCCCAGTGCATCGATAACTCAAGCTCAGGCTCAGCAAACCCCCGAACCTCCTCCTCTTCCTCCTCCGCCTCCTCTTCTCTGTCCACGGGAGCAATTGTTGGCATTGCTGTTGCTGTTGTGCTGCTACTGGTGGTGGTGGTGCTGTTGGTGCTACATGCGCGGGGGGCTCTGCCATGCTTGCAGCACAGTGGGGGAACCAGGAGTGGGGGCGGATTTTTCACAGGCGGTGAGTTGGCTGGCTTTGCTGTTGCTGTTGTGCTGCTGCTACCGCTGGTGGTGGTGCTGCTACTAGTGATAGCATGCGCAGGGTGCTCTGCCATGCTTGCAGCACAGTGGGGGGACCAGGAATGGGGGCGGATTCTTCACAGGCGGTGAGTTGGCCGGCTTTGCTGTTGCTGTTGTGCTGCTGCTACCGCTGGTGCTGGTGCTGCTGCTACCGCTGGTGGTGGTGCTGCTGCTAGTGATGCATGCGCAGGGTGCTCTGCCATGCTTGCAGCACAGCAAGGGGCCTGGGAGCAGAGAGAGCGAGGCATGGGCGAGGAGGGTGACAGCTGGGTTGTTCGTAACCGGTGAGTCACTACTACCATTACCATTACCATTATCATTACCATTACCACTACCATTACCACTACCACTACCATTACCATTACCATTACCACTATCATTACCATTACCATTACCACTACCATTATCACAACCATTACCATCACCATTAGTATTACCATTACTATTACCACTACTACTATCACTACAATTACCATTACCATTACCATTACCATTACCATTACCACTACCATTACCATTACCACTACCACTACCATTACCACTACCACTACCATTACCATTACCACTACCATTATCATTACCATTACCATTACCACTACCATTACCATTACCATTACCATTACCATGTCATAGCGTTACAATTACTACTACCACTACCATTACCATAACCATTACCAGCAGGGTTGTTCGTAAGCGGTGAGCACACGCACGTACTCGAGGTGCCGTTGGTCTCTCACAGGATATCGCCACCGCAGCCGCAGCCGCAGTTTTTGAAGCCTTTCGAAATATTTTTTTAGACGATTTTCGAGGCGCCTCAAATTTATCTCCCTTTTTCCTAACCCCCTTGACTTCCCACAGTATATCGCCGCCGCAGCCGCAGCCGCAGCCGCAGCCGCAGCAGCCACATCAGCGCCGAGTCAGTAGCAGCAGCGGACACGTCACCGCAAGTGTGTCAGCGCTACTCGCTCGCTGACGTGGCACGCGCCACTGCCAACTGGTCTGACCAAAATCTCATTGGCAGCGGCGGCTTTGGTGACGTGTACCGGGGCGTGTGTCCCACCGATCCAAGTATTGTGTGGGCGGTGAAGCGAGCCCGCGTGCTGACCAAAGACTTTCAGCGAGAGGTGAGTCCTTCGGGTCCCCAGTGAGTAGCCGGACCGCAATCTCATTGGCAGCGGCGGCTTTGGTGACGTGTACCGGGGGGTGTGCCCGACTGATCCCTCTCTCCTGTGGGCTGTGAAGCGAGCTCGAGTGCTGACAAAGGACTTCCAACGAGAGGTATGCGGGGGTTGGAAAGGTGGCTTTGGTGATGTGTACCGGGGGGTGTGCCCCACCGATCCTTCGGTTTTGTGGGCTGTGAAGCGAGCTCGAGTGCTGACAAAGGACTTGCAACGAGAGGTATGTGGGGGTTGGAGGGGCGGCTTTGTGCCGAGGCGTGTGGCTCACTGATCATTCGGTTGTGTGAGAGGTACGTGCAGTAGCTTGGGTGGCGGCTTTCGTGATGTCTACCGGGGGGTGTGCCTGACTGATCCGAGTGTCGTGTGGGCCGTGAAGAGGGCTCAAGTGCTGATAAAGGACCTTCAGAGAGAGGTACGTGCACTGCACCTAGCAGCACCTCACTGCACCGAGCAGCATCGCACATGCAGCGTGCGCCAGCAGTGACTGCGCGGATTGCAACCAAATTGGCAAGGGTGGCTTTGTTGACGTGTTTTTGTTTTTTCCTTCACATTCCGCATCACTCTTTTTTCACCAGGTGAATGCGATGGCTTCGCTCCACCGGATTGGCTTCCACGCTCACAGCTCAAGGCTTCTCCGTCTTTCACATTCCCCCATACTCTCATCTCATCTCATCTCATCTCATCTCATCTCATCTCATCTCATCTCATCTCATCTCATCTCATCTCATCTCATCTCATCTCATCTCATCTCATCTAATTTCTCCAGGTGAATGCCATGGCATCAAAACATCATCCGAACCTGGTGAGGCTGCTGGGGTTCTGCATGTACCCAGAACCACCGCACTGCACCCCTCCCCATCCCACTCCAGGTGAACGCCATGGCATCGAAGCACCATCCGAACCTGGTGAGGCTGCTGGGGTTCTGCATCGACTTCAACGCGGGCACGGAGGAGATGGAGCAGGTGGTGGTGTATGAGCTCATGGAGAACGGCGATCTCGACCGCTGGATCGGAGACGGTAAGATCTCGACCGTTGGATCGGAGACGGTAAGATCTCGACCGTTGGATCGGAGACGGTAAGATCTCGACCGTTGGATCGAGGATCCTTGCTTAGTGGCTGCTGTTGGCTACCGGTGACGGTAAACTTCTGTTCACAAGACCTGAGTAGGATGATGAAATCTCGACCATGTGACGGGGGGGGTTCTGCATTCCATGATTCTGACCCTTGTGTTTTCTGCACTCTCAACCCTCTTGTCTCATCAGAAGCACCAAAGCCGCTGTCGCTGCTCCAGCGTGTGAACATCCTCACTGGCGCTGCCCATGGCTTCGAGTATCTGCATTTGAGGCGCCTCAAAAGTCTTCTCTGTCTGCTCCATGCTCTCACCCCCCTTGGTCCATCAGAGGCTCCGAAGCCGCTATTTCTGCTCGAGCGTGTGAACATTCTCATCGGTGCCGCCCACGGGATAGAGTACCTCCACAGCTTCGGTATTCATACCCTTTTCCCCCTTCACCCTTGTCCCATCAGAAGCACCAAAGCCGCTCTCTCTGCTCGAGCGTGTGAACATCCTCATTGGGGCTGCTCACGGGATAGAGTACCTCCACAGCTTTGGCATCGTGCATCGTGACATCAAGCCCGCCAACATCCTCCTTGACGGCAAAATGCAGGTGATTTATCTATAATACATAAATGTATACATATATATATAGCTATCGGTAGGGTAGCACAGTGGGTTGTTGGGAGTCGACCATTCTCAATACATTCGCATCTCATCCCCCCCTTCCCGCTCCCCCTCCCGCCCCACCCACAAGGCTAAGATTGCCGACTTTGGGCTGCTGAGGGAGGGGGAGGGCAGCACAGTGGGCAACACTAGAGTGATGGGCACACCGGGATATGTGGACCCTGCTTACTTCAAGTCGCAGAAGGCTACTCCCATGGCTGATGTGCACAGGTGCAGAGCGGTGCAGAAAGGTAGAGATTGGTACCAAGCGATACAGAGCTGTACTAGCCGGTGTTGTCCTGTATTCGAGTGCATGGGAGTGATGGCACACCAGGCTATGTGGACCCTGCTTACTTCAAGTCACAGAAAGCCACTCCCATGGCTGATGTGCACAGGTACAGAGCGGTACATAGTGGTACAGAGTGGTACCGAGCGGCACAGAGCGGTGTGAGCTGGTGCTGTCCTGTAAAGGTGTGCATGGGAGTGATGGGCACACCGGGCTATGTGGACCCCGCCTACTTCAAGTCACAAAGTCACAGAAAGCTACCCCCATGGCCGAGGTGCACAGGTAGAGAACGGTGCAGTGCGGCACAATGATGTATTGGGCGGTGCAGTGTGGTGTGAAGGTGTGTTGTCCTGCAAGGGAGCGGATGGGAGTAATGGGGGCACTAGCCTATGCGGGCCTGGCTTACTTGTCATATGCCCGTTGCCCTGCATGTGTGCACCTACATGTGCTGCTGCATACACATGTCTTCCTGTGTTTGCCCCACTTGCCGGTACAGTGAGGTGCAAACCAGTGGTTTCATGTAAGGGAGTGGATGGGATGAGAGTGATGGGGACACTGGGCAATGTGGGCTCAAACTGCTTACTTGTCATATGCCCGTTAGCCTGCATGTTCACCTATATGTTCCGCTGCATACACATGTCGTTTCATGTTGTCCTGCATTTGCCCCACTTGCCTTGCCATGTGTCCCCTCCCCATTGATCATCATCAGCTTTGGAGTGGTGATGCTGGCGGTGATTACAGCACAGCATGCCGTGCGCACCAATGACACGAGCAGAGTCAATCTCAAAGCATGGGTGAGTTGACTCCGAGTCAACCTCAAAGCATGAGTGAGTTGACTTGCCATGTGTGCTCCCATCGCTCCTTAGCTTTGGAGTGGTGATGCTGGCGGTGATAACAGCACAGCATGCCGTGCGCACCAATGACACGAGCAGAGTCAATCTCAAAGCATGGGTGAGTTGATGGGTGAGTTGACTCCGAGTCAACCTCAAAGCATGAGTGAGTTGACTTGCCATGTGTGCTCCCATCGCTCCTTAGCTTTGGAGTGGTGATGCTGGCTGTGATAACAGCACAGCATGCCGTGCGCACCAATGACACGAGCAGAGTCAACCTCAAAGCATGGGTGAGTTGACTTCGAGTCAACCTGAAAGCATGGGTGAGTTGACTTGCCGTGAGTGTTCCTGTTGCTCATCATCAGCTTTGGAGTGTGATGCTGGCGGTGATAACAGCACAGCATGCCGTGCGCACCAATGACACGAGCAGAGTCAACCTTAAATCATGGGTGAGTTAATGGCTGAGTTGACGGGTGAGTTGACTCCGAGTCAACCTCAAAGCATGGGTGAGTTGACTATGAGTCAACCTTACAGAATGCTTGAGTTGATTTTTAGTCAGCCTCGCATTTGATTTGTCTTGAGGCACATCGAAGAGTGTTGAATAAGCTTCTATCTCACCACCCTCTCACTCCCCTCTCCCCTGTCCCTCACAGGTGGCACCCTTAGTTGCCGCCCGTGACGTGGCATCCTTCAAAGACCCTCGCCTCGAAGGACCTGCTGACGTCATCCTCCGCCTCGCTGAGCTGGCGCTGAGCTGTACAGCCATGCCGACCGCATCGCGCCCCGATATGATGCGGATAATTGGAGATCTCAAGGCGATACGCGCCGAGCTGACAGGTGGCGATGTGGACGAGCGAGCGGTCAGGATTGACTCTGAGCTGGCGATTGGTGTGGGGGAAACGTTGGAGGAGCAGATTCTGAGGGTGGAGAGCATGAGGGATGATGATAGGGGAGGGGTTGTGGGAGATACACCGGATGTCGATGGTACACAGTGATTGAGCGGGGTTAGAAGGGCTCGTAACTGATTGGTTTATTAATAAGAATGGCCAGGAGGAGAGGGGTTGAAGGAGGAGCAGATTTTGACTGAATGGAGACACCAACTGAATTGCAGGTGCAACACGTGGTTACATTCCGATCACATTGGGGTAGCTTCAGTTGCATGCACAGGTGTTTGGAGAGACGAGGGGGCTCCCGTTTTGGTAACTGTATGTAGTACGGTAAATTGCATCTTAGCGCTGTTTTATTCCAAGTTGGAGGTTAGCGATCTCTGTTGGTAGCAAAAAGTACATAATGATGAGCTTTCAATCTGAGTGCTATACATTCGTAGCCAGCTGCTTATCGTTCCAACCTTGTATATAACCGAGTCGACCCGTAGAATGTCAAATTGAAATGTGTCCATGATGCACGAATCCGCGGGACTGACGCGCGCAGCGGACCTCCCTTGACTGACAGGTCCACCAAACGGTCGCGTCGCGACTCGACAGTCCCAATGCCCAACCAGGCTTTCCATTTTTCCCATAATAATCTCCACAAGCCCATCCGTGACTGTTGAGAATAGTTTCCTTTAGTAGCTTTCTCCATTCCACGTAGTCCTCTTTACGCAAGACCAGACTCTGTATCCGCATTGCCCTTGCAGTAATTTATTATAGGTCCTTATTTCTATTCAACGAGCAACCGAATCGCGGTTGACGATGAGGCGAATAAGCAGTAGGCGGGCGTCAACGATCAACCAGACCTTGCTCGTTCTCGCCTTTTTCCTTCTCGCAGCTCCGAATCTTTCTATTTTCGTTCGATCGCAGCCAGTCGATCCGTCGCAAAGTGAGTCGCGCCGATCCTCCTTGCGAAATCAATTTACGTCTTAGTGGACTCAAGGACGATACTCCGCGTGAGATCAGCTGGTTGTTTAGCATTCTCAATGACCCTTAAGAGGTACTAAGATAGCGTGTCACCCGTTGCATCACATAGAGTGAGAGTGCACGCATTGTCGCTCGTAGTGGGTGCGTCATCCAGTTGCTTTTCTGGAAATTTAAAAATGACTAGATTTTCGACGGCCAAGTCCAGCGTTGCCCGTCATATACCGGTCTGACGTTAACTTCATCATGGATTCAGATCTTGAACCCAGCTCTTAGTGTGATCGCACGGTTCATGCTGGCAGATCCGAGTATCTTTTCCAGACACGTCTGATAGCCTTTCGAATTCATTTTTGAGAAATCTCGACAAAAAATTCTAAAAGGTGACCAATAGTCAATTCTCCCGTGCTCCGCTCCCCTGTCCCGCTCTCGCTCTTCCCCCAGTCCCAGTGCTGCTGGACTGTCAGGCTCTCTGGCTCCACAACTTCACGGGATGGACCACGGGGGAGGACTGCGCCACTGCGGAGGGGCTGTGCGCACTCTCCGCCCCACAACCTCCTATCCCCCCTCCCGTTCTCCTTCTCCTCTAACCCCTCCCCCAGTCCCACTGCTGTTGGACTGTCAAGCTCTCTGGCTCCGCAACTTCACGGGATGGACCACGGGGGAGGACTGTGCCACTGCCTCATCTCGACTTCTTCTCCCATCTCTCACCGCATTTCCCCATCCCTCTCCACCGCTCCCCATCCTCAGTCCCAGTTCTCCTGGACTGCCAAGCTCTCTGGCTCCGCAACTTCACAGGATGGACGACGGGGGAGGACTGCGCCACTGCGGAGGGGCCGTGCTCGCTCTCTCTCCCCCCCACAACCTCCCATTCCCCCCCCCCCCCTCCCTGTCCCATCCCTTCCCCAGTCCCCGTGCTGCTGGACTGTCAAGCTCTCTGGCTCCGCAACTTCACGGGATGGACCACGGGGGAGGACTGCGCCACTGCGGAGGGGCTGCAGTGTGATAGTAACGGGATGATCGTGAAAATGTGAGTGTGACAGTAATGGGAAATTTGTGAAAATGTGTCTAGTGTCTGACAGTAACGAGAGGATTGTGAAGGGGTGAGAGTGACAGTAACGGGATGATCGTGAAAATATGGTATGGGGTGTGACAGTAATGAGATGTTTGTTAGAGTGTGACTAACAGGATCCCTTCTCCCAACCGCTCGCGCCTCTCCCCCCAGCTCACCCTCCTTCCCCTCTTCCCCACACTAGACACCCACCTTATTCCAACCAGGTCAAATGAGATCTCGTCCCTGTCAGGGGTGCTGCCCTCGCCTCTTGGCAACTCGGTGGTGAGCATTTCCATTTCACCCGCCTCTCCAACCAACCAACCCCCCCTTTCCTGCCTCCCTTCGCCCCCCTCCCTCCTCCCAACCCCCCTCGCCCACCTTTCCCCGCCAGGTCGAAGGAGATATCGTCCCTGGCAGGGGTGCTTCCTTCCTTCCTTCCTTCCTTCCTTCCTTCCTTCCTTCCTTCCTTCCTTCCTTCCTTCCTTCCTTCCTTCCTTCCTTCCTTCCTTCCTTCCTTCCTTCCTTCCTTCCTTCCATCTATTGGCAACCTCACGCTGCTTACGCACCTGACCGGCGAGTGCTCACTCTCCATCCTTTTCACCCAACCCCCCCCCCCCCACACACACATACACACACTCTACACACTACCCCTGTCCCCGCCAGGTCAATGGAGATGTCGTCCCTTTCAGGGGTGCTGCCTTCGTCTATCGGCAACCTCACGCTTCTGACACACCTGTAAGCTATATAGTGCATAATATAATGGAGATGTCGCCTCTGGCAGGGGTGCTGCGCTTGCCCATTGGCAACCTCACGCTGCTGACGCACCTGTAAGCTCGCACAGCTTGCTCAGGTCTTACTGACTGTGCACTGAAACAGTGATCGGTGAAACAAGTGAATGAAGGGGGTGCTGCCTTCGTCTATATGCAACCACACGCTGCTGACGCACCTGTAAGCTCGCACAGCTTGCTCAGGTCTTACTGACTGTGCACTGAAACAGTGATCAGTGAAACAAGTGAATGAAGGGGGTGCTGCCTTCGTCTATAGGCAACCTCACGCTGCTGACGCACCTGTAAGCTATACCAGAGTAACTTTTGAGAACATTCAAAAGAGGCGGCATACCTGTAAGCTCGCACCGCTCAGGTCCCATTAGCCATGGCCGCATCACTCTACCGGATTAATCGTTGAGAAAACTCAAGAGAGACGGCATACCTCTAAGCTCGCACTGCTCAGGCCCCACTAGCCATGGCCGCATCGCTTATAGTCACATCCCAATAAGTACTAGAATAACAAATTCACCACCACCTCTTCCACATTACATAGCTCTCCTCCCCTCTCACAGCCTCTCCCCCTTCGCCCCTCTTCCTGGCAACTTCTTTCAGAACAACCTCAACAGTGACATCCCCACCCCACCGCCTTTGTTGCTCTCACAATCCCATCACCTTGCATCCTGTTGTGTATCCCCCCCACGCCCCTCCCCTCCTCCTCACTCCTCTCAGCAACTTCTTTCAGAACAACCTCGACAGTGACATCCCCACCACCTTTGGCGCTCTCCCTTTCTTTCTCCTTTGACTTTCCCCTTTTTCCCTCTTCCCCTTCACCCACCTCCTCCCAGCAACTTCTTTCAGAACAACCTTGGCAGCAACATCCCCACCACCTTTGGCGCTCTCCCTTTCTTTCTCCTTTGACTTTCCCCTTTTTCCCTCTTCCCCTTCACCCACCTCCTCCGAGCAACTTCTTTCAGAACAACCTTGGCAGCAACATCCCCACCACCTTTGGCGCTCTCCCTTTCTTTCTCCTTTGACTTTCCCCTTTTTCCCTCTTCCCCTTCACCCACCTCCTCCCAGCAACTTCTTTCAGAACAACCTTGGCAGCAACATCCCCACCACCTTTGGCGCTCTCCCTTTCTTTCTCCTTTGACTTTCCCCTTTTTCCCTCTTCCCCTTCACCCACCTCCTCTCAGCAACTTCTTTCAGAACAATCTCGACAGTGACATTCCCACCACCTTTGGCGCCCTCACCAACTTGCAGCACCTGTGAGCATGTTGCTGTGAGCATGTTGCTGTGAGCATGCCCTGTGTTTGCTGTGAGGTGCGAGTGCAGCGTTCTTGCTGTGAGTATGGTGTGTTTCGAGGCGCCTCAAAAGACATTCCCACCACATTTGGCGCTCTCACCAACCTGCAGCACCTGTGAGCATGCAGTGTGCTGCCATGTGCTTGCTGTGGTGAGTATGGTGTGACAGTGACATCCCCTCCCACATTTGGGGCTCTTAGCACTTGACACACGCTCCCTCTCTTCCTCAACTCACTCCAGTCGACTCGCAAACTCCCTCCCTTCTCCTCTCTTTCATTTCCCCCTCCCCTCCCCCCGCCCTTCCCTTACCATCGCAGCAATCTGGGCATCAACATGCTCACAGGCCCGCTCCCTCTCTTCCCCGACTCACTCCAGTCAACTTGCGATTTCCCTCCCTTCGCATCCCTTACATTTCCCCCTCCCCTTCCCCCCCCTCCCTCCCCCCCCCCCTCCCTTCTCCCCATCACAGCAATCTGGGCATCAACATGCTCACAGGCCCGCTCCCTCGCTTCCTCGACACTCTCTCACTCCTCACCTTCTTGTGAGTGCTTCCCTTCCCTCCCTCACTCCCCACCCTTCTCACTCCTCCCCTTTCGCTCCTCACCTTCTTGTGAGTGCTTCCCTTCCCTCCCTCACTCCGCACCCCTCTCACTCCTCCCCTCTCACTCCTCACCTTCTTGTGAGTGCTCCTCTCCCCCATTCCTCAACACCCTCGCTCTCCCCACTTATCGTGGCCTCACTCCCTCCGCCTCCCACATGTCACGTACTCCCCTGTACTATCCTTCAAACCTCACTCACTCCAGGATTTTTGTTTCTGTTCTTAACCTTTTTTTTAATTTCTTTTTTTTGTTTTGTTTTTTTTTCCAACAGGAATTTTGGTGACAATCAGCTCACGGGGACGCTGTCGGCTGGTCTGGGGAACCTCCAGCAACTGCAGTTCCTGTGAGTGGTTGAATGGTTATGGCGGTTGTTGGTGTTTGCAAGCGGCTAGTAACAAGTTATCACCTCACAGGAAAATCAGCCAGCAGCTGCAGTTCCTGTGAGTGGTTATGCCACCAATGGTTACCAGTGTTGATGGGTTGCTAGTTTCAAGTTATCACCCTACATAGACAATCAGCTCACAGGGACGCTGTCGGCTGGACTGGGGAACCTCCAGCAGCTGCAGTTCCTGTGAGTGGTTGAAACGGTTGTTGCTGGTCGTAAGCGGTTACAATGGTTATACAAGCGGAATCTGGGTGACAATCAGCTCACGGGGAAACGCTGTCGGCTGGTCTGGGGAACTTCCAGCAGCTGCAGTTCCTGTGAGTGGTTGAATGGCTATGGCAGTTGTTGGTGCTTGCAAGTGGCTAGTAACAAGTTATCACCTCACAGCGACAATCAGCTCACAGGGACCCTGTCAGCTGGTCTGGGAAACCTCCAGCAACTGCAGTTTCTGTGAGTGTTTACAGCGGCAAATCTCAGTATTTGCAAGTGGCTAGTTGCAAGTTATCACCTCACAGGCGGCTGGTCTGCGAAACCTCCAGCAGCTGCAGTTTCTGTGAGTGTAGTTCCTGTTCCATCCACACTGGGATCACTCGCACCCCTCACTTCCATCACACTCTAGCCTTTCCCTCCCCACTACTCGTGTCTCCCTCTCCCTCCCCCTCTCCCTCTCCCTCTCCCTCTCCTCCTTCCCCACCTCCCCCATGTGCCGCTCGCTGCCCAGAGACCTGTCCAAGAACAACGTGTCTGATTCCCTACCGTCAACACTGGGATCGCTCTCAGCTCTCACATGGCTGTACGTCTCTTGCTTGGGTAGACAGTAGCAAGCTCGGTTGGCAGACTCGTGACTCTTGAGGAACCTCAAAAGTTGCCCTTTCGAGGCACCTCAAAGAACGTATCTGAGTCACTGGGATCACTCTCAGCCCTCACATGGCTGTACGTCCCTCGCTTGCTCGGGGCCTTGGTCACGGTCATGGTCTAAAGTCGGGCTTTCGAGGCACCTCAAAGAACGTATCTGAGTCCCTCCCGTCAACACTGGGATCACTCTCAGCCCTCACATGGCTGTACATTGCTCGCTTGGGCTGTTGAGGCGCCTTATAAGCTGGGCGTTTGAGGCGCCTCAAATCAAACTTTGGGCGTTTGAGGCGCCTCAAACAACGTATCTTAATCGCTGCCATCAACACTGGGATCTCTCTCCGCCCTCACATGGCTGTACGTTTCTCGCTCTCCCTCACTCACCCAACTGTGTGCTGCGATGCGACTTGTATGACCACTCGTTGCTCTCCAGTCATCATGACTCGTGAGAGACCATGACCATGTGGCGGTTGGGAACCATGACTTCTTTTGAGACGTCTCAAAAGGACCATGACGATGTGGCAGTTGGGACGATGTGGCGGGTGGGACCATGATGATGTGGCGGTTGGGAACCATGGCCATGTGGCGGGTGGGCCCATGACCTCTCGAATATTTTCTCCATGAGCCCTCCCTCACTCATCTCCCTTGACCAATATCCTCGTTACAGTGATCTTCAATACAACGCCTTGGAGAACAGCATTCCCAGTTCCATCACCAACCTCACCGCCCTCACCTACCTGTGAGTTTCTTTTTGTTATATGTTATATACATGTATATATATGTTCTCTCTAAATGTTTGAGATGATATTGATTCTGAGTCACCTCAGAAGCACCATCCCTAGTTCCATCAGCAATATTCCCTCCCAACAGCTCTGTTCCAATGTTTAATGTACCACTTGTTGTGAGCGATTTTAGAGAACTCTCAAAGTTACCTCACAACTAACCTCTCTCAACAGTCTACTTCCACTTCACGTCACAGCTCTATTCGTTGTACCAAATAACTTGACTCACAATTGTTACCATCCCGCTTCCCACTCCCCCTACACTTCTCCCCCCCACGTCCCCCCCTCCCTCACCTTTTCTCAGCAACCTTGGGAGCAACAAACTCAACGGCTCTGTCCCCATATTCGACAGCTTCCCTGCGCTCACACTTATTTTCCCCCCTCCCCTCCCTTCCCACCTCTCCCCCGCCCGTCCCCCTTCTTCTTCCTTCCCAGAAACCTTTCGAGCAACAAGCTCAATGGCTCTGTTCCCGTATTCGACTTTCCACTTGAGCTGGCTCGCTGTTTCGCTTCCTCCCGTCCTCCCTCTCCCTTCCACCCCCAACCCTCTCCCCGCAGCAACCTTGCGAGCAACAAACTCAATGGCTCTGTCCCCATATTTGATGGCTTCCCTGCACTCACCTACCTGTAATGCCTTCCTCGTTATTGTCACGCTCATGACTGTTGCTTGATGCTTTCCTAGCCGGCTTGCCTACGCTCACCTACCTGTGATGCACTTTTCGATGTAGTCAGTCATTAAGTCATTCTTGCTTGTTCCTTGACGACTCACAATCTGCTTTGTATCGACCCAAACCATCTTCACCTGCCTCCTCACCATACCGTGCAGCGGCCTGGGAGGAAACAACCTGCAAGGAACCTTCCCTGTCACGGGCAACCAGGCTCTTCCCCTCAAGACACTGTGAGTCACAGACGCAAGTGATTGCTTGCTTCGACCTCTTTATTATCACACGCACTCGCTTTTCTGTCACGGGCAACCATGCTCTTCCCGTGAAGACGCTGTGAGTCACAACAACGAGTGATTGCCGCCTGCATTGACGGTTGATGTATCACACACACTTCCTTCCCTGTCACGGGCAACCAGAATCTTCCCCTCGACACACTGCGAGACACAGTCGCAAGTGATTGCTGCTTGTTTTGACCTTCGTTACTAGCACACACACTGTCTTTTCTGTCACAGGCAACCAGGCGCTTTCCTTCAATACACTGTGAGTTGTATTTAGCTTGTCCCTGCCTTCGCCGTGTCTTGCCTCATCCCCGCCTTTGCCCTGTCCTGCCTTGCCCCTGCCTTTGCCGTTTCTCCATGCTACATCCCTGCTGTTATCTCCCATCCTCCCTTCTTCCTGCCTGCTCCCACCCCACCAGCGACCTCCGAGGCAACAAGCTGGCAGGCAGCATCCCTCGCTCCATCTCCCCCTTTCTCCATTCTTTGGCCTCTTACGCCCTCTCCCTCTTCTCCCCTGTCACTGCCCACCCCATCAGCGACCTCCGAAGAAACATGCTCACAGGGAGCATCCCTCGCTCCATCTCCTCCCTCTCCGCTCAAAAGCCCTATACCTGCCTCCCAATCTCCAATCTTCCTTCCCCCTTCAACCCCTTTTCCTCTCACCCCACCAGCGACCTCCGGAGCAACATGCTTGCAGGCAGCATCCCTCGCTCCATCTCCTCCCTCTCTGCTCTCGAGCATCTGTGAGTTGGAGACGAGAATTGCTATCGATGTCAATTGCTTCAAAGGACTCATACCCGACTACTCCATCATGAACCCTCTGGCCTTCCACCCTTGCTCCTTGATTTAGATGTCCCATTCCTTCCTTCTTCCCTTGCTCCCCTGTTCTTTTTTCCCCCTGCAGCCTGCTATCAGAGAATCCTTTCAAAGGATTCATACCCGACTCCATTATGAATCTAGTCAGCCTGAACCACCCCCGCTCCATGTTCCCTTGCACCCTTCGTTTCTGCTTCCCCTGCAGTCTGCTGTCCGAAAATCGCTTCAATGGATTCATACCCGACTCAATCATGAACCTAGTCAGCCTTGAGTACCTGTGAGTCAGCACTTGTTCTCTGTGAGTCAGCATCTAGTGTCTGTGCGTCAGCAGCTAGTGTCCATGGGTCAGCATCTAGTGTTTGTAATCCCATGGCCAGAAGAACGGGCGCCAATCACCTGCAGGGGCCAGTCACACCCTCCATCCCTCCCTCCCCACTGTCCCATATCATCCTTCACCTCTCTACCTACCCTCCCCTATTTTACCCCACCAACCCAACAGTTCCCAGAGGAATGAGCTCGACTCACCTGCAAGCGCCAGTCCCACCCACCAGTTCCCCATCTCCACCGTCCCATACCATTCTTCACCTCTCCACCTCCCCACCCACCCAACCCAACCCATGCCAGGGGACTAGGCGTCAACCGTCTGCAGGGGCCAGTCCCTTCCACCATGGGGAATCTTGTAAAGCTGACGGCGCTGTGAGTGGTGGAGTGCGGTGAGGAGGGTTGCAAAACAGTAACGTGGGGTGTGGTGTGGTAACATGGGGCACGATGAGTAGGGCGACTGGTGGGTGGGTGATAGGCAAGTGAGCTCCAACCAACCGCCTGCGGCGGCCGATTTCCCCATCCACCATGGGCAAGCTGACGACGCTGTGAGAGTTAGTGGTGGTGTGGGGTGACGTGCGGTGTGATGCGGTGGCAACCGTTGCAGGGGCCCGTCCCCTCCACCATAGGCAACCTTGTGAAGCCCGTCCCTTCCCAATGTAACACCATCAAGCTCATGCGCACCCACCTTAACCGCTCTGCATTCCTCTGTTCCCCTCACTTGCAGCAACATGTCTGGCAATCAGATGGCACGGATCCTGCCTGCCTGACCCTCAATAGCACCACCCGCTCCCTCTCACCCCTCTCAACCGCGCTGCACCCCTTCGCACCCCCTTCCCTGCAGCAACATGTCTGGCAACCGGATGGCAGGGATTCTGCCTGCCACACTCGGCTCTCTTACCAAGCTCACGCTGCTGTGAGTTCTCTCTGCTCTTTGCTCTCTAATCTTTGGCATTTGTTCACTCTGCTGTAAGTGCACCCCCTACTCCCACCTTTCTTCAGCACCTATGCCATTTTTTTTCCCTTCCTTTTCTTTCCTTCCCAATTCCCTCCTTTCGCACCACTCCAGGGATTACGATAGAAATTTCCTGTCCTGCCCGACTGATGGAAACTGCCTGGTGCCCCAGTATCCCACCACCGCTTTTTGCAAAAGCTGCCCGACCTTCTGTGGGCCATGCTATGGGAAAGGAGGTGAGGAGAGGGGGTGGGGGTGGTAGAGGCGAAGTGATGAAAGAGAGCGTGACAAGGTGAGAAGACGAGTGGGAGGCACATGTTTTGCTGCCATATGTCAAGTCTGCAAGAGCTTCCCGACCTTCTGTGGGCCGTGCTACGGGAAAGGAGGTGAGGAGAGGGAGTGAGACTGAGACGAAGTAATGTTGATTGAGAGAGTGGGAAGGGTGAGAGAGGATAGCAAGGCACATCTGCTGCTGCCATGTGTGTCGCGGCTGCAAGAACTGTCTGGTTGCCCCGCCCTACGAAAAAAGAGCTGAAGAGAGGGCGTGAGTGAGACCAAGTAATGAAAGGGAGTGGGAAGGGTGAGAGAGGATAGCAAGGCCCATCTGCTGCTGCCACGTGTGTCGCGACTGTAAGAACTGGCCAACCTTCTGTGCCCTGTGGTATGGGAAGGAAGGTGAGAAGAGGGGGAGTGAGAGTAAGTGATGAAAGGGAGTGGGAAGGTTGAGAAAAAGAGTGGGGGGCACATGCGTGCTGCCATGTAAGGCTGAGAAGGTTGAGAAGAAGAGTGGGGGGCACATGCGTGCTGCCATGTGTCGAGGCTGCAAGAACTGCCTGGCCGTCTGTGCCTGGTGGCGAAATAAGGCGAGGAGAGGTTGAGGTGGGCGTATGAAGCGAGGAGAGGGAGTGAGAAGTGAAGCGAGCAGAGCGGCTGACCTTATGAGTCAAATCAAAACGAGTTGCTTGTTTTGATCTATGTGTGGTCCCACTGCCTGCCTCCGTTTTGATCCCTTCTGTCCCTTGTGGCCAGCAGCCTCGGGCGCTCTCTCGAGTTCGTACAGGTTATTGGCGGCTGCATTTGTGGTTATAATGATCATCCTTGCAGGGTGACTTTCTGACATGCTGCCTAAGGTCCTTGACATGACGCCCTGTACAACACACATTTGGCTAGCTCTCCTTAGAAGCACATTTCCGCCAATATAATATAATAATGCTTTTGGTTTTGGCAACATAGTTATTTTAGCCTTTTCCCGTGCCGAATCTGTTGACAATAAAAGCAGTGGGGTGCTTCATGCATATTTGTGGCTACAGTGGTTGTGTTGATGCATGAAGTGTACACAATAGGAAAGCATAGGAAACACATTACATAGTAACATAACAAGCATAGCACATAGAAAACATATACGGTAGCAAACACCTTCTACAATGCTGGCCATCCACAACGCAACATGTACAAAGAACAGCCTATGTCAATGCTGCTTGCTTCTCCCGAGGCATATTCCCGAAGCTGAAGGCCGCGTTGCTGAGCGTCCAGATGTGCATCTGGAAGAGCTTCTGAGGGGCAATGGACGGCTGAGATCTGACTCCTCCTGAGGCGTTTCCACCCTCGTTAGAGGCTGCTTCAGTGGTGGAGTGTGGAGTGTAATCGACGTTAGAAGCACCAGTGGCAGCACCGGTGGCAGCACCAGCAGCGACGTAGAGAGGCAACAGATGCTCGATGGTGGGGTGGGCCTTGGGCAGGAGTGGGTGAGAGGAGAGTGCTGCAGGGAGGAAAGAGGGGAGAGGGATCGGCAGAAAGAGGGGGTTCAATAATGTGTAGAACTAAAGTAGAGCGGGAGGAGATGCTCGATGGTGGGATGGGCCTTGGGCAGGAGAGGGTGAGAGGAGAGTGCTGCAGGGAGGGAGTGAGGGCAAGAGGGAGGGAGGAGGAGAGAGGGAGGGACATGAGATAGAGTTGAATGAGGAAGAGAAAAAAAAAAAGAACAATAAAAGCTTCTCGATTATTCCTTCACCAAAAGCTATAGACTACAGAGGCATCAAGGAGGCGGGTGAGCACGTCACCAAGCCCTTGTCTGATGTGGCCTTGGTGATTGCCTCGTTAAGAGAAAGAGAGAGTGACGCAGCACCAGGGAGAGGAAGAGGTAGTGAGTGAAAATACAGGGAGAAGAAAGGCTGTCTCAAGAATCCCCAAAGTGGAAAGATGGGGGGAAAGGAGGTATACGCACCCAGTAGGCGGGTGATCATGTCTTGATCTGACTTGGCCTTGGTGATTGCCTCGTCCAACAGCGAATCAAAGGGCGCCACGTAGGATGCCACCTGGCATTGCAACAGCATTCGGCACAAATGAAAAAAAGGGGTTTGAGAATTTATTGTGCAAAACTTAGACAACGAATGAAGATGACTGGAAAGGAAAGAAAATCTCATGCAGAGAGGAAAGTGAAAAAAGGACGTGATTTCGAACGATGAGAAGATGGACAGAAAAAATGACAGTTACACCCACACACACAATGAAAGCAACGCTCATTGTAGCCTCAACTCAACTAACGCATACCTTCTTAGTCCCAAAGTAGGATCCGACTTCTCATAAGTTATGCACAGCACCACCACTCGCCAGCACCAGCACTCCCTCCCTCCTGAGCCCCCCCTCACCGCCAATAGTCACGCTCATACAGACATACTGGCGCTGTAATAGCACCAGCGTGACATCAACACACCCTCAACGCGTACCTTCTTTGTCCCAAAGTATGGTCCGACTTCTCTTAAGTTATGCACCGCACTGCCATTCGCCAGCACCAATACACCCTCCCTCCACTAATTGCCCTCTCCCAACAAAGAGGGCCATCATAGGGACGCAATAGATGGAGCATCAAGACACAACGCACCTTCTTTGTCCCAAAGTAGGATCCGACTTCTCTCAAGTTATGCACAGCACCACCAGCACCAGCACACCCTCCCTCCTGAGCCCCCTTTGTGTCATACAGGCATGATGGCACCATCATAGCATTATCAGCATGGCATCAAGACGTAACGCACCTTCTTAGTCCCAAAGTAGGATCCGACTTCTCTCAAGTTATGCACCGCACCGCCACTCGCCAGCACCAGCACCCCCTCCCTCCTGAGGGGCCTTAAAGCCCGACCCAGCTCCACGTGGCGCTGCATACTCGTTATAGCGTTTCCCACTTGCCGGCTGCTGCCGCCGTACAGCGACATCTGGACCACTGGGAGGGTGCCACGTGGCAGCATCCAGCGCAGCGGGACCCACGCGCCGTGGTCCAGGTCGTGGGATGGGTCCAGCTCAGCTTCGATACGATTGGCTGAGAGGAGCTGACGTCAGCAGGCCAAGATGGGAGAGGAATGGGGAACCAAGCAGGGCAGGAAGAAACGGTAAGAACAGATACCAGTTTAACAGATTAACTAGGAAGTGGTGGGGAGATCCGCTCTTGAGGTTGTTCGTTTCTTACGCGATCGGTTTAACAACATCTCACCTCTCCTGCACGCTGTGCTAGCTCCAGTGATCCCTTGACTGGGTACTGCAGCGCGTACAGCTTGAGCGGAAACCCACAGAGATCTGGCTATTCACAGACTCTTACTTCTCACCTCAACTACACACTGTGCTAGCTCTGGCGACCCCTTGATAGCGCATACAGCTCGCGGGGAAACATATAAACGACAACCCATTGGTTCTTCTCTCTTACCTCCACCACACGTTGAGCCAGCTCCGGTGATCCTTTGACTGGGTACTGTAGTTCGTACAGCTCCCGGGGAAACCCATTACCTGAGGTGCCTAGAACAAAATTCTCACCTCAACTACACGTTGAGCCAGGTCTGGTGATCCTTTGACTGGGTACTGTAGTTCGTACAGCTCCCGGGGAAACATATAAACGACAATCCACTAGTTCACCCGTCTTACCTCCACCACACGTTGAGCCAGCTCCGGTGATCCCTTGACAGGGTACTGTAGTTCGTACAGCTCCCGGGGAAACCCGTTCAATGAGGTGCCTTATAAAGCATCGATTCTCACCTCCACTACTCGCTGTGCCAGCTCCGGTGATCCCTTGACCGGGTACTGTAGTTCGTAAAGCTCCCGGGGAAATCCGTAAAAGTCGTGAATAGTGGCCGGCTTTGTGGTACTGTTCACTCGTATTGCTGCCCCGTCCGCCTCCCAGTGCGCGCTTATAACGAGGATGGCTTTGATGCCAGGCAAGGCTGCGACCTGGGGGCAGGTAGGGGAGGGGGAAGGATGGGGGAGGAGGGTGGGGTGGGGTGGGGTGGGGTGGGGTAGGGTTGGAAGGAAATGAATACGACAGACTTGATGGACAGTGGCAGAGCGTGTGCAGCATGCTTATAGCGAGGATGGCCTTGCGCCCTGGAGATCCAGCCATGTGCAGGCAGGAAAACGACCGTTGGTGCGACTCAAACGACGACCAACCTGTTTCCCAACCCAAGCCGTCGCCTCATCTGCTTCCCAAGGCGTTCCCAGAAGGCGGGCGTTTTCGACTTCTTCCACCTTTGACATTGGCGACCCGTGAGACACGACTGTCGCCCACCCACCTGTTTTACCTTCTACAGATGACGACCCCAAGGTGATGACGATCCCAAGGCGATGACGATCCCAAGGCAATGACTCCTAGAATGACTCGAAAGCAGAGACCTCACCTGCTTCCCCAGTCGTTGCCAGAAGGCCGACGTTTCGTCTTCTTCCACCGCCGACAGTGGCGACCCGCGAGCCACGCCCACCCACCTGTTTTACACTTGACAGATGACACTCCTAAGCCGTTGACTTGAAGGTCAACTCAATTTCGTACACCTGGAACCAACTCGTCGCCGCACCTGTTTCCCGAGTCGCTGCCAAAAGGCCGACGTTTCATCTTCTTCCACCGCCGACATCGGCGATCCGTGCGACACGAAGATCACGGGAAGCTCCGAATGCGCGTCCCCCGCGTTTCCCGCCGCCGAATCCGCCGCCATTTCCGCAGCCGCGGAGGTAGTACGCGTCGCGTGCGTATGACCAACCGGGGGATGTCTGCCACGTGGCGCTAGCGCAGCGAACGGGCTCCCTTCACCGTCGATCTGACAGACGGGCAGTGAATCTCGATAAAATTCGCTCCTTGACGCGGCGCGTGCCACACCCGGGAAGGCTAACGTGGCGAACGATGACGTGGCAAGGAGGCACAAATGCGCGGCGGTCCAGGAAAGAATCGGCGCGCTTCTGAGATTGGGACTGATGTGTCGCAGCGCGCGAAAGGGCCGAGACGCTCCGGTAATACGCTCGGTCGAACTCGTAACGCGCGGCGAGGCCTGAGGACGAATCGGCTGATGGCGGGCCGAGAGAACGCACACCGGCCGAATGGGAAGAAACGACACAGAAATAGCCATTTCGCGGTGAAAGCGCGCGACGGGATGCGGAGATATTAGAAGAGGCGGCGCGGAGATGATGCGACGGGAGGAGACTTGGAAAAGCAGACTGCGGAAAAGCTGGAGCCTACCTGACAGGGGGTTCTTTAGAATGGGGCGGTGCGGTCGTAAATAGTAGTCACGTCACGTCTACCTCTTCTGCTCCTCCTGGAGAATGGGAGATGGCCTCGATATAAGAATTGGGAAATCTGGAACTACGGCGTTTGAAACGGAACAGGGAGAAGTTTTTAGTACTCTGTACCATTGTCAGCAGCAACCGTTGATTATGTACTGCCTTTCCCTGCTGCTGCTAAATGCCAGGCCACAAGCTCTGCTGCCTTTCCGCACGAGTCTCTCGAGGTATCGGAGACAGGTGGGTAGGAGGAGGCCTCTAGGAAAGTAAAAGCTAATTTCCTAGACCCGTGACGTCACATACTGGGGACACTTCTACGAAACTCAAGGAATGTTCGAGAGTTAGTGAATTAATATTATATGTAAAACAAATTATCGTCCTACGCATGTCAGGATGGCCGAGTTGGTCTAAGGCGCCAGTTTCAGGTACTGGTCCGAAAGGGCATGGGTTCGAATCCCATTCCTGACATTTATGGTAACCCTATCTTACCTAGGGTTACACGTTGCCCAACCAATCCAAACCTTGGGCAGAATAGATCTGCGCGTCTCGCACGTGCGGGTCGTGACCCCCTCCTCACCTCGTGGAAGATTCACATCCATTGCTGACATGGCCCAAAAGTCTGGGTGAGTCATCCAGTTTTTCCGTAACGGCTGCTATAATCCGTAGATGGAATTCGATCGAGCGGATGTGAGGCAATCTTCCCGCCACTTTCTGACAACCCAATCAGGAAAACAGTCTGCGTCACTTTTGGATAGGAAGGAACGAACTCTGTCGGGTCGCCCGCTTTTCCCACCAAAAAGCAAACTGATTCGAACCGTCGTTGGGAACCCCACACAAGCAGCATATCAGTGCGGCTCCGTCCTTTCAGGGGTGGAGTTACTCAGCACCTGCTTGCACACAGTCGCCAAGAACGGGTTACCCTTTTTCTGTCAGAATATTGCCGTTCGGATTCGACAACGACAACTCGAGGCTTCGTTTGCCAGTAACTCAGCCGATGAAAATATTCGCCAGTAATCTGCCCCGCAAATTAGGTGGTATCTCCATGTCTCCTCGGTCTCCGCCTCCATCCACCTTCCACTTCCTGCTAACGAGAGAAAGAAACGCATCAGCTTGTGTCTTATCAGCTTTCGCCTGCACTCGCACCTGCTGCTGTAGTCACCCCAGTACTACGGATCTGAGACCTCCTCACAGCACATACAGCTATTTGCGTGTGCCATTTCTGGTTGGAAGTTGTTCAATAAGGCCACGTATTGCTCCTAGTCATTTATACAGATTGTTTTGCCTTGAAGCAATCAGGATGGAGACTCTTTCAGTCGCCACCGCCGGGCTGCGGTTGCCCGTGACGCGCAACGCTATTGCCACTCCGCCGCACGCGTTAGCTTCGTCGTTAACTCTCGTCCCCGTAACGAGGCGCCTGATTGCGGCTCCTTCTCGAACGCCGCGCGTGGGAGTTAATCTCCGCAAGCTTTCCGCATTCCAGCCTGGCGCAGCTCGCGCGGCTGTCGGAGAAACGACGGACCGGCGAAACGAGGGCGCCAAGCGAGGCGGAGATGGCGCCGCGAAACGCGGAGACCGCGTCCATGATGTAATTATGGCGGATGTGAGCGAGGAGGCGAAGTCCCGGCTCAAGAAGCTCTCGACCTTTCCGTCAATTGCGGAGAAGCAGCAGGGTCGGGACGCGGGCTCGTTACCTCGTCGCATTCGAGGGAAAGCATCGAAGTCTGGTATGTCAGCAAAACCAATTTCCGCGCAAAAATTGATCTACAACATAAATGAGATCGCATCTGCTAGAAAATTGGCCGACAGAACAGTTGACTATATCGAAATTACTGATTATATTGAATATGCCTGTCTTACATTGTACATGAATGAGGCATATGTAGAGATACCGCTTCCATGAACCAACGTTATTGTTATATTGTTCCACCACGGGATCGTTTGTAAACGAGTTGCGGTATTCGATGCGTGGGTGCGTTATTGATGATTTGCCGCATGTTGCGGTGTCGTGTGTTTGTCGATAGCTAGTTTGATTACAAATCTTCACTCCCACCCTTCCTCTCCCCTCGCGTTCCCCCGCAACCCTCGTTGTTGGCTCCCCATCCCCCCTCGTCCGCACAACTTGCGATGTCGTCACTAATAACAGCCGAGTCGGCGAGAGTCGAGGGCGACTGGCCAATCTCGTGGTGCCACGTGGCGGACAACGTGCTCATCGGGTCGCCTCTGGCGACGGCCGACGACGCCAAGGCTGTCCTTGCGGCTGCTGACGTCACTGCTGTCGTGGCTCTAATGGTAAGCGCGCTCGATGCGTATATCTACTGTCGTTAAAAAATCAAAAAATAGTCCTTGCGAATAATACGGAATCATTTCCTCTCAGCGGATTGTCGTTCCGCTGTTGGATTCCCCACGAAAGTTCTATCAATGCATAAGCAAGCACTCCGAGAAAGGAGAAAGTCCACGATCCAGCAACTTCACAAATGCGTAAACAAGTAGCTGTTTAGAGCGGTGCGAGTATCATCTATCGAGTTTCTCCCTTCTAACTCACTTTCCTTCAGCGTTCCTCTCTCACTCCCCTCTCCCGTGTTCTCCACTTCCCTCTCCCTTCCTTCCTCACCTCCCTCTCCCATCTTCCCCACGCCACAATTACAGACGGAGCAGCAGGAGCGGGAGCTGGGCGTTGACTGACCAGCATCGCATTCCCCATCCCTTCTCTCCTCCTCCCTCACCCCGTTACCTCCTCTCCCACCCTCCCGCAAACCGTCAACCACAGACGGAGCAGCAGGAGCGGAGCTGGGCGTTGGCTGGCCAGCAGTCGCAGCAGCAGCAGTGACAGAGGTGGAAGGAGCGGCTCCTTTTTCTCTCATCCCCACCCCCTTTCCTCCCTTCCCCAACGGCAGACGGAGCAGCAGGAGCGGAGCTGGGCGTTGGCTGGCCAGCAGTCGCAGCAGCAGTCACGGAGGCGGGAGGTGCGGCAGTGCGTGCGAGTAGCATGTGTGCTTTTCCTCCCTTCTCTCTCACCCCTGCCCCCTTTCCTCCCTTACCCAACTACAGACGGAGCAGCAGGAGAGGGAGCTGGGCGTTGACTGGCCGGCAGTCGCAGCAGCAGCAGTGACGGAGGCGGGAGGGGTGGCAGTGCGTGCGAGTAGCGTCTGTGGTCCCACTCACAGCCCTTCTCCCACTCTTCCCTCCTCCCCACATATCCCTCCCCCATCCTTCCCCGCGTCACACAGACGGAGCAGCAGGAGAGGGAGCTGGGCGTTGACTGGCCGGCAGTCGCAGCAGCAGCAGTGACGGAGGCGGGTGGGGCGGCAGTGCGTGCGGGTGTGGGGTTTCTCTTTTCTCACTCACGACTCTTCTCCCACTCTCTCCTTACCCACACCTCCCTCTCCCATCTACCCCGCGTCACACAGACGGAGCAGCAGGAGAGGGAGCTGGGCGTTGACTGGCCGGCAGTCGCGGCAGCAGTCACGGAGGCGGGAGGGGCGGCCGTGCGGGTAGAATCGGTGGAAACGCTAGGAGAGAGTGCTGCTGTTGCTGCAGCAGCCGCCGCAGCAGCAGGGGAGAAGGGCGACTCTTCCAGCAATGCCCAGGTACGCAGTTGATTGGGTGGGAGCAGCAGTGACAGAGGCGGGAGGGGCGGCCGTGCGGGTGGAATCGGTGGAAACGCTAGGGGAGAGTGCTGCTGTTGCTGCAGCCGCAGCAGCGGCAGCTGGAGAGAAGGGAGACTCGTCCACCAATGCCCAGGTACGCTATTGATTGGGTGGGAGCAGCAGTTACAGAGGCGGGAGGTGCGGCTGTGCGGGTGGAATCAGTGGAGACGCTAGGGGAGAGTGCTGCTGTTGCTGCAGCAGCAGCCGGGGAGAAGGGCGACTCGTCCACCAATGCCCAGGTACGCAAGGCAGTGAGTGGATGGGATGTTGCTGTTGCTGCCGCACGAGCAGCAGCAGCAGTAGCAGCAGCAGCAGCAGCAGCAGCAGCAGCAGCAGCAGCAGCAGCAGCAGCAGCAGCAGCAGCAGCAGCAGCAGCAGCAGCAGCAGCAGCAGCAGCAGCAGCAGCAGCAGCAGCAGCAGCAGCAGCAGCAGCAGCAGCAGCAGCAGCAGCAGGGGAGAAGGGAGACTCTTCCTCCAATGCCCAGGTACGCAAGGCAGTCAATGGGAATGGTTGATTCGGTGCAAACGCTAGGAGAGAGTGCTGCTGTTGCTGCAGCAGCCACAGCAGCAGCAGGGGAGAAGGGAGACTCGTCCACCAATGCCCAGGTATGCAAGGCAGTGGGCGGGAGATGTTGAACCAGTGGAAACGCTAGGGGAGAGTGCTGTTGTTACTGCAGCAGCCGCAGCAGCAGCAGCAGCAGCAGCGGCGGCGG